CGGGAGGAAGTCTCCCCGCTCCCGGGAAGGGTTTCCCATGACGGGACAGGCTGCTGTCCTCACCGCCAGGAGAGGAGCCCTGAGCTTGCCCAGACGAAGCTGCCAGAAAGCTGGGTGTCGATTAAAGCTGGGTGACTGCGCCTCTCCTTGCTCCTCGCCTCGCGCCGTGCTCAGTCCCATGTCTCTGTCCCCAGAAATGCTCGGAGGAGAAGATCGAGATTCTCCAGGGGAAGATTTCTCTGCTGGAGGACCAGCTGGCCAAGCTGGGGGAGTGCAGCGCCCAGGAGAAGGGAGAGGTCATGGGAGACGTCCTGAAGGTAGGGCTGGCTCTCGAGGGAGCCTCTGGCTCCCGCAGCGAGGGCGGGCAGCGCTCGGGTGGGAAACGCCTCCAGCTGGGGAGAGTGGGGGGTGCAGGGTAAGGCTGCGCGGGGCAGAGCCGGCTGAGTTGGGAATACCGCTCCCGGGCGGCTGCTGGCTCCCCCAGGCTCCCGTAGCGCGGGCCGGCTGCAGAGGGAGCAGCTCCTGCACGGTGAGAGAAGGCGCTTGGTCCCAGAGAGCAGAGCGGCACAAGGCTGAGGGGAAAGTGGGGTGCACTGGGGGTGCCGGGAGGGAAGGTGGGCACCAGGATGCAGCACGTGGGTCTCCGGCGAAGCTGTTGGGTGCAGCTCAAGTAACGCCTGGGGGTGCATGTGTTTTGTTTCCCCCCTTCTCTTCTCTTTGCCAGCTGGAAGAGCTGAAGCAGGAGGTGTCCAGCCTCGCTGCTAAAGGGGCCGAGCTCCAGGCCACCGTCCTGCGGCTGGAGGAGGAGAAGCAGCTGCGGGAGGCAGCCCTGCAGTCCGAGCGTGGCCGCTTCGAGGAGGAGAAGCAGCAGCTGAGTGGCCTTGTCACCAGCCTCCAGAGCTCCCTCTCCGAGAGCCACCGGGTCAGGGAGAGGCTGGAGCAGGACCTACGGGACCGGGAGGCCGAGGCAGAGGCAAGGCGTGAGGGGGAGGCCGAGCGGCTGGCTGCCCTCGACGCCCAGCACGAGAAGACCCTGCGGGAGAGGGACTCTGCCCTGCAGCAGCTCCAGCACCTGCGGGAGGCCAACGCGTCCCTCGGCAGCCAGCTGCAGGCCATGGCGCAGGCCCAGGAAGCCAGCCAGGCCGCCTCGGTGGAGGAGAAGGCTGAGCTGAGCCGCAAGATCGGCGAGCTGGAAGCCAGGATCCTCGAGCTCGGCGCCCAGCGGCAGCAGGGAGCGGCGGAGGGGCTGAAAGCCCAGCTGCGGGAGCTGGAGGGCAGGCTGAAGGAGAGCCAGCAGAAGCTGGCCGAGAGGGAGAGGCTGGCCCGGGGGAAAACCCGCCTGCAGGAGGGGGTGGGGGTTCCTGGGGGGAGGCCCGGAGGGTGGCGCGGGCCCGGGAGCTGGCTCCGCAGGAGCGGGCCGAGGAGCCAGCCAAGCACCAGGCGCTGGAGGAGAGCCGGGAGAAGCCGATGGGAGCCTCCCCTGCTGCCCGAGGGGAGGAAGGAGAGCGCGGGCGGCTGGAGGAGGAGATGCGGGTGCTGAGCCGGGAGCACAGCCGGGCCTGCCAGCGGCTGCAGGCTGAGCAGGAGAAGGCGGCGGCGCTGGAGGCCCGGGCGGAGCGCCTGGCCGCCGAGCACCAGGAGAGGCTGGCTGCCCTCCAGGCTGACCTGTCCAGCGCCCGGGCATGGGCGAAGGAGAAGGAGGGCGAGGAGCAGAAGCTGAGGGCCGAGGTCTCCTCCCTGCGGGAGACGATGGCCACCACGGAGCAAGCCACAGCCCAACGCGTGGCCGGGCTGGAGGCAGATGCCCGGAGAGCCTCCGAGGCGCTGGAGGGGGTCTCCCAGCAGCTCTCCCAGGAGAAGCTCAAATCCAAGGAGCTGCAAACCGCTGTGGAGCGGCTGCGGAGCGCAGAGGCCGAGCTCTCCCGGGCGGCCGCTGCTGGCAGGCAGCGGGAGGTGGAGGTGAAGAAGCTGTCCGGGGAGGTGACCCTGCTGGGCACCAGGCTGGAGGACACGCTGCGGGAGCACCAGCGGGAGCTGGCGGGCCGGGAGGAGGAAGCCGCACGCTTGCGGCAGGGGGGGGGAACGGGCCAAGGCAGACTGCGCCGCCGAGCGAGCCCGCAAGGCAGAGCTGGAGGCGCAGCTGCAAAACTCCCTCAACGAGCAGAGGGTGGAGCGGTCGGTGCACCGGGAGGAGCTGGCCCGCTCCCAGGAGCTGGTGGAGGAGAAGGAGGGCGAGCTGGAGGAGCTGCGCCGGAAAAACGTCTTGCGGGGCGAGGAGCTGAGGGACCTGCAGAAGACGGTCAGCAAGCTGAAAGGAGAGCTCGCCTCGGCGGAGGTGGCCAAGGAACGGGCGCCCAAGGTGGACAACGAGGCCACCCGGAGCAGGGATGCAGAGGGGGATGGCGTCAAGGCCACCTGCTCAAAGGAGATGTCCCTCAAAAGCTCGGAGGAGAAGACCCGTCACAAGGAGCAGGAATCCGGCTCGAGCCAGGACCCTTACCAGGAGAAGCTGAAGGAGAGCCAGGCGCTTCGTTTGCAGGTGGAGGAGCTGGAGCAGAAGTGCAGGGAGCAGCAGGAGGCTATGGCTGCCCTGGAGCGAGCGGCGGCTGAGGCGGCGATGGAGCAAGCGGAGCTGGAGGCCTCGAGGAGGGAAGCGGCCCAGCAGAAGGAGAAGGCGTCAGAGCTGCATAAGCTGCTGGAGGCCTCAAGGTCGGCGCAGGCTCTGCACGACGGCGCTGTGGAGGCCCTGCGAAAGGAGCTGCAGGAGAAAGGCAGGGAGCTGGTCCAGAGCAAAACCGCCATCGCCGCTGCCGAGAAGGAGCTGGCGTCCCTCCGCTCCGTGGCGCAGGAGAAAGGCCGGTCGGAGGAGAGCTGGAAGGAGCAAGTGTCCCAGTGTGTCCAGGAGATGGAGAGGAAGAACAGCCTGATCAGCAGCCTGGAGCACGAGGTCTCCATCCTCCATCGGCAGGTGACGGAGAAGGAAGGGGAGAGCAAGGAGCTGAAGCGCCTGATTGTCGCTGAGTCAGAGAAGAGCAAGAAGCTGGAGGAGAGGCTGCGGGTGCTGCAGACGGAGATGGCCACCGCCGCCTCCCGGGCGGCCGAGAGGTGCTCACTGATGAAGGTGGAGGTGCAGCGGTACCAGGAGGAGACGGAGAAGCTGCGGTTGACCATCGAGGCCCTGAAGAGAGACCGTCACTGCCAGAGCGAGCGGGAGGACGAGCTGCGGCAGGAGGTGAAGGTCTGCCAGGACAAGTGCCTCCAGAAGGAGCAGCTCCTGGCCGCCCTGCAGCAGGAGCTCAGCAGCGCCCAGGCACTCGCCGGGGAGTTGCCGACGCTGAAGCACCTTTGCCAGCAGCTGCAGGCTGAGCGCGCCTCCCTGGAGAGCCAGCACCGCCAGGACCTGGAGCAGAGGGCGAAAGCCCTGGCCACTCTGCAAGCGGAGCTGGCGCGGGCCAAGCTGGAGGCGGCCGAGGTGCCCTCCCTGCGGGGGCGGGCGGCGGAGCAGGACCGGGCCATCCAGCGGCTGCAGGCGGAGGCGGCGGAGCAGGCAGCGCGGCTGGCGGGGCTGCAGCAGGCCAACGCTCGGCTGGCCGAGGAGAACCGGGGGCT